GGTTTAAACTTTAATAATAATGCACTTTTTCATGCTTAAATGTTTTCCTTTGTATGTGTCTAATGACCTACTCTGATGCCAAACTTCAAGTATCTAAATCATTTAAAAGTGGCCTAGGATTTTGACGAGTGAGTCAGTTAGTTAGTGATGAAAATGATACTTTTCAGACCTTAATACTTCCATAACTATAAGAGGTAGATTAACAAAATTTGGGTTTCGAAGTGTTCAAAGGAGCTGTACTAGACATAGAAAATTACAAGTTTGCAGGTCCAATAGATTTTGAGGAATAGTTCGTGTAAGATACACATGGCCGGTGTCTTGCTGTTTTCTTTTCCGTCTGTTCCGGACTTGGCTGACACACTGTCATGTGTCTAAATAATAATTAATGACTTCATAATAATTGCTAGTATAATTATTTAAATTATAGGTATTGATGGCTTTGGTTATTTAAAGCAAACAGACCCCCCCGGGAGTCGACGTAGAGAACTCTGCGAAGCTACTAGCTAGGACCTGTACCTAAGCAGTCTCGGCCACGGAGGTATAAAAATCGTGAACCTAGTGGTTCTGGAGGCTCCCGAAAGGTCACTTATTGGCCGCCCCGGGGTCTGGCATGTCCTAGAGCAGATGACTAGTAACCTGGGGTGGCGTCCTGTGGACGCTGGGTAACGTCCCTTTGCGACGGGCAGCCCGAGCGACTGGGAAGTAGCGACCGGTGTCAGTCAACGACCGGTGTCGCAAAATCGATGCGTCCTGCTCTGCAAGATGTGAGGGCAGGGGTTAAACTCCTGTGCCTGGTTCTGAAGGGTGAGGGGACTCTTAGTCCCATTAAGTTGGTGAAAACAGGAATGCAATAATTTATCTTAACCCAACAGAAATTTTAATTAATTCAGTCTAATCTTACGTTACAAAAACAAAAAGGATGCACCAAAGACAAAAAACAAAAAGGCATCAAAGACAACAAACAAAAAGGCATAAAAAACAACAAACAAAAAGCATCAAAGACAACAAACAAAAAAGGATGCATCAAAAGACAACAGCATTATTTAAATAAAGGAGAGTTATAAGCAATCAAAACAGTAGTTGTACATCAAATTAGGCGGAATTTCTTGCTCCTGACCAAGAAAGACCTCTACCAGTTCGTCCTCGAAATCGAGAGTTTTCATTAAAATCTACGCCAAACGCAATGTTTTTCCCAATTTTATATTTACTTTGGCGTATTTTTTTATAGTAGTCGTATGATTGCGAGTGATGATGATCTCGGATTTTTTTTAAATGAAAGACAAATTTAAATGGATTGAATATCCACTCTTTTGCAAAAAAATTGAAGCACCATGAAGGAAGTGGTTGTTTTTGATGAAATTGAATATGTGTGTAGCTGATACACAGATAATAAAATGATTAAAAAATCAAGGTCATAGTACCACTTCACGACTCACAATCACTCATTGAGTGTTCAAATTAGTAGTTGGTCGAACCGTCGCTGGCGGCAATGCATGCTTGAATTCGTCGAAGCAAGGAGTGGTTAGATGTTCCTAATGTCATCCTGCGGCACATTCTGCCAGGCATTCATCAGTTATCTCTCCAGATCTGCGATAATTTGTGGTGCCCGAATCTGGCGGCCTACCATGTTCCAGATATGCTCAATTGGTAAAAGGTCTGGTGACCTTGTAAGGAAGAGTATCAACCGCACGGAGACAATCTAGAGATATACGAGCGGTATGTGGCCTGGCATTATCTTGTTGAAAAATGGCTCCAGGATGATGTGCCATGAAGGGTAATACAACCGACCGTGCGATGGTATCAACATATCGTTGAGCTGTTAAAGATGTACGGAGAATGACTAATGATAACCTACTATCAAAGAAATAGCGCCCCGCACCATCACACCAGGGTTTATGGCTGTATGTCTTTGTAAAACAAAGGCTGATTGGGACCGCTGGACCGCTCCGGACACGAACACGGTGATCATTTGCTTCAAGAGTGAAGCGGGATTCATCGTTGAACATTATACGACACCAATCTGATGACAGGCATGATGGTCAGCTGCGATACCACTCCAGACGACTCCGCCGATGTTGTGGGGATCAAAGGCAAAAGTCTTAAAAGCCTCTGTGAGCTTAATCCCAACTCAGACAAGCGCCGTGAAACGGTGGTGGGTACCACGGGGGTATAGACGTGGCTGCAGTGCGTTGAATAGTCGACAATGATACCATTGAGGCAGTTCGGGCCTGGCGAACAATAATCCTATCTTGCCTCGCATTTGTGATCCTTGGCCTTCCAGAGCCATCATTTCGTCGGCAATTTCCTTGTAGCAACCACTGCTACCAACATCTTTGCACAGCAGTGTCTGTACGCTGCAGGTGGCGGCCTATTGCTCGGCATGACCACCCAGCTTCACGCAACCCTACAATGCGAACACGTTCTAAGTCGTTTAGTTGTCTGGATATCGATATCGTCGTAATGGCATCTTTAGCTGCTTCTTTACGGAATTACAATGGCAGCAACAAAAAAAAAATTTCGCCTCTGTTACTGGGTTTATACTTTGCGAATTGCGCACTAGAAATGCTCGCTATGATCGCAATTCCTGTTCATTTGCCTTGAAACTTTGATCATTTGCATGTTCGCTTAAGATGTTTTTGCACACCAAATTTCGTCACGATCGCAAAAGTCTTTTTGGTGCTTCGATTTTTTTTTTGGAAAAGAGTGTATTATCTTCCTACGCTGTTAATAACTTTTATTTTAGTTCTTTATTTGTTACTTAATTTAAAGAACCAATTTAAATAGTCAGTGTTTGCAATCCTACGATTTTAGCTGACGATGTGGTGACAATGATGTGTTCGATTTTTTCGAAATTACTTCAAATTTGATTTTGCTCTAATAATTGTAAATGGAAACAAATCTACCTAAAATTGCTAAATTTTATTCAGAAAAATGAAATTTGAATTTTAAATAACACTTAATTCGAATTTTCGAAACCGTACTTGGAATTTTTTGAAACAATTACTTCAAAAATATTATTTAAAACAATTTTTACCTTTTTCTCAGAATAAATTTACTCAATTTATTCTGAAAATTTTCTGGCAGAAGAATAAATTTTACTTACTGAATTTTTTGAAATTACTTAAAATTTTAATCTCTGAAATTCTATACTGAAGAATAAAATTTGAATTCTAATAAACTGTAGTTCGAACGTTTTTAACAAGAAATTTTACTTCAAATCAGTATTCCTTCTAATAAATTTTACTTCGAGTTTTATGAACTTATCATTTCAGCTTTTATTCTTTGAAAATTTAGTCAACAGAATGAAATTTGAATTCTAATCAGTTTTATTTCCAGGCAGGAGCTAGTTGACAAAGAATTAATGAAAATCTCTATTTATAATTTTAAAAAATGAAAGTATTGCGTAGCTTACCTAATTTTACAACTCCAGCGATTATTTCCACTAATCCAATAGATGAAATCTTAGTGAAATTTGATTGTATTTCTTTAAACACTTAACTATTATGAAGTTGTTACCATGGAAACAGAATGTAATGTATGTCGCCAGTCGCAAAAAACATTTATCACACAGTTTTTTAATTTATTTACTTTATTTCGTGTACGCTGAACAGTTTTCATACAGGAGAATTAGTTTCCTTATCTGCATACAAACAAACATAAACAAAACGAAAAAGAAAGTACTGCGGTTGCACGTTATCTTCCGGCGCTTGAGCGCTGTGTGGGTACGGCCGGAAGAGTTTGTATGAATAACCTACGTGACTCGAAAAACAGCACACGAGTATGAATGTATAAACGCAAGTGAGAGTATAAACCGATCACGTGATTATCTACACCAGTGTCTTGATGGCAGGGGCGGATGGGGAATGATCTGACTGTCGCGGCGAATTTGCATAAGTGTGCCGGTACCTTTATGCTATTTCATCTTTGCTCGCAAAGAGTACCGCAGTATTCAAGACACAAAGGCGTTTGGCATTCTTATGAAGTTCAGTATATACCACGAAAAATACAACTTTTCTCAAGATGCCATCAACTTTTCTAAGTTATTGATTTTTCATCGAGACGTACTCATACACTCTTTATGAGGTTCAGATTTTACCTCCAAAATACATCTTTGTCTAAGTTCCTGCACCATTTCTAATATAGTGATTCTTCTTCAAGTCATAGGGGGGTATCCTTATGATGCTTGGGATTTTACGACGGAAAGTGCAACTTTCAACAAGATAGCGGCATCTTTTTCAAAGTTACTGATTCTTCATCAAGACATAAAAGGGGGTGGTAGCGCTATGGAGTTCAGTTTTTACCATGATAAAGGCAACTTCCGTCGAGGTGTCAGCATCTTTTCAAGATAATAAATCTTCATTAAGACCTAAAAAGTGACTTTTGACACTCTTTTGAAGTTCAGTTTTTTTCCTATGAAAAATATAATTTTCGTTAAGGTGACTATATCGTTTCCAAGTTAGTGGTTTTTCATAAAAAATAAGGTGTGCCGGCCCCCTTATGAAATCAATACCATTACTGAGCTCAGTTTAGTGGCTTGAGGGTAGTAAATGTTTTCGAGGTGCCGATACCTTTATATCACAGCATCTTCATTAAGAGTTTTGTGGAAATTCCTTTATAAAGATACAATTAGGAAGTTCAATTTATAATTTGGTGAAAAGACCTTTCGTCGAACTGCGTCTAGTAGTGAACTTTAGTGAGAGTGATTAGTAGTGACTGTAGTGATTGATTCCGTTTGTGACTGGTATCGGCACCTTAATGATTATTAGTGACTAGTGCGGACACCTTTAGTGACTTATAGTTATCGGTACCTTAGGAAATTTTCCAAATTCTCCATAACCCCATTCGCCCCTAGTGCCAATAAATTGAGCTACCTTCTAACTATCCTTTGTTTACTATGAATACAGCAGTTTTCCTATTTCCAAAACAGTACTGAAAATCGTCTGATTATGCATATTCGATTAAAAATAATTTTTCACGTTGCCACATCAATTTGTAATCAGTTTTTTTTTTTTTTTTTTTTTGTTGATTTCTGTAGTTCTGAAGTTACAGCCGTCATTATATTCCCCACAAGCTCCACTTTTCACTTATTTGAAAAAAGTTCATTTCGTAGCTGCCTTATCTTTCATCGTAACCGCACCTGGATAACTATATTAATTTTAATGTTCAGCTGTTCGCAATGGGCTTCTACAAATAACTTTGTAACCGCCGCACTTTTAATTGAAACTGTATCAGGTAATTTCAGTTGATTTCTTGGTTACTTGCAGAATTTCAGTATTTCGGTTTATAGCTGCCATATTTTTCACCGTAATTGTACCTGATAACTGAATTTATTTTCTTGTTTAAGTTATTTCTGAAGGATTTCTATGGTTCACGTTTACCTGTCACATTTTTCACTGTAACTGTACCTAATAAAAGTAGTTTGTGTCTCATTTACCTTTTTAATGGATTTCTACTGTTAACTTTACTGGAACCTCTTTGAATATTTTATTTTACCTCTTTTTAGCGTATATATTTGAGTATGATATTTTTCTTCTTTTTATCTTACATATTTGAATATTTTATTTAACCACTTATCTTTTAACGGATTTTTCAAAATAATGTTAATAGTTATTTTATCTCTTTTATCTTACGTATTTGCTACGAGATTATTTCAAGCTAGCATTTTTTTTTTTTTTTTTTTTTTTTTTTTTTTTTGCCTTTTCTTATCTCACATATCTGTTAAGGGACAAACACAAATTAAAGGTAATATTTCTGTTGTAGCTATTTTTTATCTTGCACATTTCGTAAGAGTATATAAAAAATTGAAGTTATTACCATATTTAATTAATTTTGAGCTTTTTATATATTTGAGTATTTTATTTTATCTCTTTTTAACTACCATATTTGAATACTTTATTTTACCCTCTTTCTATGTCGCAGGTACTCAGTATTTCATTTTACATTTTTTTTATCCGGCCTTGTTTAATGTTACCTCTTTTTAGTTTACATGTTTGCATATTTTATTTTACCTCTTTTTACCTTATGTATTTCAATATTTTATTTTATCTTTTTCTATCTTACATATTTGAGTAATCCTAAGATCTTTTTTTTTTTTTTTTTTTGGCTTCATTTTTAACTAGTTACAACACGCTGAGATGATTGAAATTTGACTTCATTGCACATTAAAACTTCCTTTCCTTAGAAAAGACTACATTTGGAAAAAAAAAAAAAAAAAAACCGTTAAGTCTACCAGCACCAAAGCATTGTACGTTTCAATTCAAGTCGACATTTGGACAATTTTTATAAAAATCGTATAAAATCAACAAACTGGAGTATTAAGGTGTGGTTTGAACCTAAGAATATAATTTCTGGCAGAATAATAAATTTTATTTCGAATTTTTGCCTGGCATAAAACTTTACTTTAAATTTAATTTCTTTGAGTAAATTGTACTTCGGCATTTGTGCCAGAACAAATTTGCTCAAATTGTAGTTCGAATCTCTTTGGCAAAAAATAAATTTTCCACGATTTTTTTTAAATTACTCAAATTTAATTCTTTTTAAATTTTGTTCAAAAGAATAAGAGTTTTGAATTCGAAAAATTCCAATTCTGAATTTTCGAAATACTACTTCGAACAATAAATGTTGTTTCAGTTTTATTACTAGGAATAAATTTTAATCTCATTGTTTTGAATAAATTTTACTTCGGATTTTTTGGCAGAATGAATTTACCCAAATTTCAATTGAAATTTTTTTATGAAAAAGATAAATTTTAATTCGAATATTTCGAAATTACTTAAAATTTTATTATTCTGAAATTTTATTCACAAAATTAAAATTTGAATTAGAACAAATTTTACTTTGAATTTTATTTCGAATAAATTTTACCTCAAACTTTCTGACAAAATAAATTTACTTGAATTTGAATTTTTTACTCAGAAAAATAAACTTTACTTCAAAAGTTTCGAAGTTATTTTAGATTTTATTCTTCTGAAATTTTGCTCATGAAATTTTCAGAAGAATAGGATTTGAATTTCAGTAACTTTTAATTAGAATTTTGAAATTTTACTTCAAAATGTTCTGAGCAGTATATTTAGCCCGAATCAGCATTCCTTCGAACAAATTTCATTTGTATTTTTCTAGCAAAAGAATAAATTTTATTCTGATTATTTTAAAATTCCTTCATATTTTATAATACTGGAATTTTGTTCAGAAAAATAAAATTTGAATGCGAATAACCTTTTTCTTCAAACCTTCGAATTTTTATTTCGAATTTTAATTATAACGAAATTCCAATTAAAAATTCGTATAAATTTCCTTCAGATTATTTGGCAGAAATTTACACAAATTTTAGTTCGAATTTTTTACGCATTTGAGAAAATGTTACTTTTACATTTTTGGAAATTACTTGAAATTTAATTCAAATGAATAAAAATTTGAATTCGAATATTTTTTTTTTCGAATTTTTAATTCTCAGGGGTATGTCCTTGTAGGCCGGTCACTAGAGACAGAAGGGTATCGTGGTCCGACCAGAGTTCAAATCCGACAAACGGGTTGACTGCATGAGAGTTTTCTTCGTGTTTCTCTCTACGTGCACAGGTGAAAAACATAAAGGGTCCCATGCCGCAAGGGACCCTGAAATTGGTTTCCAGATTAAGAAAGCAAATTGTGAAAGCATGGCAAGTAGGGTGCAATCATTAAAGGCGTTGCATTCGAAGGGGTACTCCAAACAGTTTCTGCAATGAAAAAGCATTGTGAAGCGTGACAAATAGTATTTTGTATGGTACAAAGGGGAAAATCTTGAAAGGCCCCGCGTTCCATGATGGTCTCAAGTGAATTTATGAGAAAAAAGCAAGCATGGAAAATAGTATTCATTACGCACTGAGGTCGCAATCGATTTAGGGGCCCTGTTTCCAAGAGGCATCTAAGCCGGATTCTGTATTAAAAGAGACAAAATAAAAGTATGAAAAGCAGTGAACATTTCCTATGTCGTAAGTTAAAGAGCCACAAAGATTTAGCCATCTTTTTTATATCTGGTAGTGCCCACGTGTAGCATAAATAAAAGCTCGTTTCTCTTAGAAAGTCTTACACGAAGACAAAAGCCGTTACGATAGATAGCATTAGTTTGCTTTATAATCCAATAATCTTTATATGCCAACGGCGCAGTGACTGCCAGTTTGTTGATTTTATGATTCTCTAAAACATTCAGGTTGCTAGCACACCTTATGTAGCTGCTAGAAAACCCTGTTAATGACTGTTACTCTGCAGGTAACTTAACATGTAATGTAGCCTCATAACCTTTTTGCTATTCAGTCGCTTCAGAATTTTTAACGTATTTTCTGATAAAACGTTTGTCATCTTTCATATCTGCCTTCAAATGCAGTCAGCGATTACTACCACAAATATTCACCAGGGGCGTGCACTGCTGGAGTCTTCATATGAGTTCTGTGATGATTATTGGCCACTATAACTAGTTAAGTAATCCGCTCGGTGAAGGGAATGTTGTTCTGTTTGGACTGCGAGGATGAATCGTTTGGCAACAGTTCGCTTCTCAATCGTTCCTGAGCAGTCGTCTGATTCGGGGGGCGACTTTGGAAAACATGACGTCGATCGGCTGTTTGTCGTCGTAGAGGGAGGGTGCGCAAAGGATGATCCATCCAGTGCCTACCACGCAGGCTATCGTGAATATCCAAAGGAACAAACGATCCAGCACCATGGCGACGTACTGCCAATCACTTTCGATCTAAAAAAGAACAACAACAAAAAAAAAAAAAAAAAAAAAAGAATTATTTGCCGTCTTGAAAGTTTTCGTAAAACGAAATAGCAAAGAAAAATAAAAGTGTTAAAATAACCGTAAAAATATTTTGGTTTTCTACTTCGCATGAATATCTGCCGTTCTGAAGGACCAGATTCGAATCCCGGAGCAGGCATGGATGTAAATTGTCTGTCTCTTCATAGGAGGTAACGGTAGCTCACCCATTAGGTACTTCCATCGCAAAGTAACCACCCTTTTCGACCTTATTAGTGGCCAACATCTATAAAGACTAGTGACAGCCATTGGAGGGGAATCGAAATTCAAAGGAGTTAGAGTTTTAAAACTTTCGCATTTTTTTAAATGCATACAATGTATTATTTATACAAGTGAAATGCAATAGTAATATAGAGTAATTATACACTGACAAGCCATTACATTACGACCACTTGTTTAACATGAAGTAGGATCACCTTTCGCTCTTAAAACTAGCAACACCCACAGAGACATTGACTCGAGAAGGTGCTGATAGGTAATCTGTGGTATCTGGTACAAGATACTCACCAACTCATCCTGCAGTTTCCGCACATTTGTGAGGTGGAAGCGTGGCAGCACGAATTCTGTATTCTGGGTGGAACCACAACTGTTCTATTGAATTTATATTACGTGAACCCAGAGGCCAAGACATGACTTCAGATTCACAAGAATATTCTTCGGACTACACCCTGACGATTCTCCCCTTATTGACATGGTGCAGTAACTTGGTGACATGGTGCCCTTGTTGGTAAACACCATCATCTGCCAAGAACGCTGTTGTCGTGAAAGAGGGCACCTGGGCAGCAATGATGTTCATATAGCGTACAGACGTCAAAGATTGTACAGTGGGAATGATGGATCCTAATGTGCCCCATGAAAACATCGCCCACATCATAATACCGCCGCCATCTCCCTTGTTTTCAGCCATCTGGTGCACCTGGGTGTCAGGGTTTCCTATAGAAATCGGCTCATTCACAGTCATCCGTCAATATGATTGACCAGACATTGACAGAGACATATAGAAGTACAGGGGACACCTATTATTTACTTTTGTAAGTAGAGGTTATCGTACGAAATAAATATCTAGATAGCCCACCATGTGAGCTCAGAGCAACCTCGTGCGGCAGCGACAATTGAGATCATAGCAATCCCAAAGCTCCAACTCCGATACCAACCGTGGGACCATGGGCAGTCCACGTCTCGCCCAGATTTCAGCGTTTATTGAAAATTTTATTACAGATACATTGAATATTCTACATATCTCTTACATATTACATAGCATAATAACATAGCAGATCTTCATGTTACATAGCATTGCACATTACATGCATAACGTCTATCTACATACATTACAATATAATATAACATTATGATAATACTTCGTAAAATCATTAGGTTATTTTTTAATTTTTTTTTTTCTTTTTTTTTTTTTTCTGCTGGAGGCGTGAAAAAGAGCTGTGCTTTCGCCGGGAGTCGAACGGCGAATCTCCCGGATACGTTTCGAGTGTGCTTCCAATTACACCCCAAAGGCATACGGAAGGGAGGGAGAAAATACTTTATAACTTCGTAACATATATCCCACATAACATTTTGTCATATTCAGAATATTATAATTTGAAGGTAAACATTAAGGTGCTCGTATTGTAATTTAATCTAAGATATCAGTCGGTAAAAGTTCTATATTGATATAAGAACTATGATAAACACATTGTAACTATAAATTCCTAGTTTATAGTATTTGTGGAAATTGAATAACTCTAGTTTGCATATAAACATAATGTTTTCAAATATTTTATGAAACTACAATAATTAGAAACTATAGGTATATACTTAATAGAGATATCTAATAGTTTACATAAGAAATACGATACATTACATGTTTAATAATAAAGTTAATATTACTAGTTATAATTCATACTTGATAATCATATCCAATAGTTAACTTAGGTAACACAATACTTAGTATGTTTAGTAGCTATGTTTCTGTAAATAGTTTGTAATCCATACTTAAGTTCATACACTTATATTTAATAGTTAACATAATAAATGATAATGTCTATATATAATTTAACACTCAAAATGTTTTCCGTAACATTCTATTTTTATTAGTTGTTTGATAAATTTGCTGTGTTGCAGATTTCTTCTCCTCTGAAATATAAGAAGTATATTATTTGTATAACATTTTTACTAAGAAGATGTTTACTCTTAATGGCCTATTCTTAAGAATGGTGACAGATTTGTAGTTTCGCCTGGTATTTCAAGGTGATATGCCTTAATTAGATCGCAATTAAATAAATAATGTTCTGGGGTTGTTAAATAATGTTATTAAAAATAAATAATGTTTGTGCATAGTGTACTTTAGATGTAATATTGGCCATAGAATAACAGCTTTTGTTGCATTAATGTCTTGTGCTTCTTTAGCTAAAGCATCCAATTTTTCATTACCCCGAATTCCTACATGAGCTTTTACCCAATGCAAATGGAACTCGTCATTTGGCTCATTTATTTCATTTTAAATTATTTGTCGAACTAGCTGAGATCTGCTACTGGATGTATGGCAGATATACAATCTCTATAGATATTAATACACTTGAAACCTTTTGTGGATTGTTAATTGTGTGGCTTTAATTATCGAGCAGAGCTCTGATTGTTGTACACTGTGTTTTTAGCAAGGAAGAATTTGTATTTTTCTGTATTTGATACTACGCGCATTGTGTAACTTTAAGTCTCCATCCTTTTGCCATCTTCATACCCTGATGCATCTGAGTATTTTTTCAGTATGCAGCACTGATTGTTCAAGTTTTTGAAGTGTAGGCTATTAATATTATTATTATTGATTACAGGATGTAATGAATATGGATGAACCGGTTTCGTATATGTGATGCATCGAAGCCATGGTTATCATATTGGCAATTTGTATTTAATAGCATTACTGTTGTTATTGCTTGTTTTTTCATTGCTCTGATATGGAGGAGAGTAGTACACAACACAGAGAATATTGCTGAATAAGATGTTGCTCTATAGTCTTTGCTTTCATTTAAAAGGTACGGTCGCTGTATTGCAATAAGGATTTTCCTTTTGCACTCAATCATTGGTTATGCCCAAATGGCTGCACCGTATGTTACTATCTTTTCAATAACTCTAATATACGTTATACTTTGAATTTTTGTTTTAATACCACAGTTGTCCTTGCATTTTTCTGAAGTTACATTGCAATGTTATTGTTTTTTTTTTTTTTGTGTGTGTGGATATTTGGTAAATGATCAATAAATTTCATTTTCGATATTCCTGAAAAGAATGCAAGGTGTCGGATGGGGCTAGAACCCCCATATATACAAAAGCTGTTATATAACAGCTTTTGTATACAAAACAAAAGCTGTTATATAACAGCTTTTGTTTATATTTGTTATATACCGTTAGAGAAAAGGTGGTGCGATATGGGCGTTCCCAGTGACTGTTAGAAAGCAAAAGCAACTTCAATCCATCTAAAGGTTCTTCCTTTTGAATTATTTCCGAGCTTATAGAACAACCAAATGTTGCACTGTTTCAGCTTACTAGCAGCATCCCTCTGTTCTTAGTTGCAGATTAGGAATATACAAAGACTTCAGTTCTTCAGATAAAAAAAGATTGAAAAATTAAAAATGAGACAGTAGCTGCCAACTTTTACACCTCACCAGCCCATCCATAGCTGAAATCACATCACACTATCTATAAGGCAGATTAGACATCAAAACTTCTGATGGTCTACACTGATGGTTCCGGCATAAATAATGGAAAAGGATGTACTTTAAAAATCTATGATCATGACACAAGAGACTTCAAGCTCCAACTTGACAAAGAGAATAGTGTATTTCAATCGGAAATGTTCGCGATATTGCAGGTAGTCAACGAAAGCATACATAAGTATTTCTCGAAGACTTATATCTATACAGATTGCCGAGAGGCAATCTGTATAGATATAAGCGATTATTTGATTTGGTGATTTATTTCTTGTGTTTGCGATTGCATATTGCGAACACAAGAAATAAATCACCATTAGCTCAGGAAATCTTCGAAATTCCTCCAGTGCCCAAGGCCAACATTTCTTTACAAAATCTGCATTAAAACCCATGTTGGTCACAAAACTAAAGAATCATGGTAACAATGATAGGAAGCTGCAAAAACAGGGATAAGCGTTTACAACATTTTTCCCAAAGTTGACTCTCCTCCGATGCATGTCACCAGACATACACATGGTTTATCACGGGCATGCATCCTTTCCCACGTACCTCTATGCAAGAAATCTCTCCTCATCAGACTTCGATGCATGTGATGAAGCGGGTCACCCCGAACATTATCTATTTTCCAGCCCGTTGACGGAATCTCGTCATCTAAAGAAGACGAATTTAGAAGAGGATTTATTTCCATTCCTAAGATATGCAATCAAAAGTAAGCACTTGAGGAATAAAACTGCGACAGTTTTCGACATTTTGGCTGTTAGAAATTAAGAGATATGCAGGGTAAAATTAGCCTTCAAAGAAATGCTGCAGGAAAGCGAAGCAAATGAATTAAATGAAGATACATTGTATGCGGGCGCATCTTCACAGGAAAGAAATAAGCACTGCTAACCACATGATGCAGAACATAGGACACTCATAAATAGCGTAAGGAACTACTAATTATTTATTTAGGGTAAATAATAGATAACCTCCTACAATTTTACGTAACATAAGATAGCATAACATAACCTTAAATTATGAAAACTGAGTTGTAAAGTATTAACAATGTACTGTATCATGAAATGTAAGTATACTACATTAATTATTGTAAAACATGCGAAATTGCATATAATAAACTGACAAAAATAACTTTACAATGTATCAGCATAAATATGCAGTAATATCTAAAAGAATGTAATACGCGTAAGTAAGCAGATGAAATAATTTTTTCTTTTTTTAAACTTATTATTCCATAGAGGCAATTTTCCCAGAAGGACTATTAACTTCGTTTAGGCATTTTGTGTTGATTCACTAAAAGCGTTGTTTCACATTTCAAATTGTTGCCACCAAATATTATCTCCCCGTACTTTATTTAAAGAAATTAAATAATGAAGAATCTGCATAAATGTATGTATGTTTCTCGTACTGTGATAAACAACGGTACCTAGGGCCATCAAAATTTGAATAAGGTAATCTCCCATAGAATATGGGCATCTGGAAGCCCTAATTTGAATTTGAAATTTTTTTTATTATCGATTTCATATTTTGTAACACTTCAACGAATTTTTGATTAAAAAGCTAAACGATTTCAAAACGAGCAATGGCAACACTGTATGAAAAAAAAAACATATTTATATCCAGCGCGCGATACTTTGTATCGGAAATTTTAAAGATATGCTCATTTAAAAATTATTTTGCGATATTGCTCTTGAACTGAATTTTATGGTTTAAGTGCAAAGAACATGATATTTAATAAATAAAGGTAACACACAAAATGTAAAAAAAAGTCCCTTTAAACGTAATTTAAAATCTGAAACCTTTCAGACTATAAAAAAAAAAAAAAAAAAAAAAAAAAAAAAAAAAAAAAATTACCTTACCATTTTTTATTCTTTTTTTACTTTTGACTGTTCATTGTAAATATTAATGCAAACATGTCATGATTGCAAGCATGATCTGTATACTAGAAACAAGTTACTTCTAGCCACTACATTATATAATGTCATGACCTATCTTTACACGTGCATAACAGTGTACTGCTATATATAATGTAATTTCTGTAATCGTAAAAACATACACAACAACACATTATGAATCGTTAAAATTGAGTTGCGAAAGTATTAGGACAGCAGCACAACTACGCAATCAGCATAAATATGTACGCAATCAGCATAAATATGTAGAATGAAGTAAGCTGTGTAAACAGTTTTATAATTCTAACTTAATTTTGATTATAGACATTGATGTAAATAGATCAATTTTGCAAATATGATTTGTAAAGTGGAACATTACGCCTGTATTTACTGCAATATATAATGTCCTGAAACATGGTACCTGTATTCACTACAGTAGATAACGCCATAAAACATGCATCTGTACAACTATATATCTCTATGTATATTATGTAATGTAATGCACTTGGTAATTTAACTCTGAAAGATAGGAGTACTATTTATGCCGCCGGCGGTGACAGTACCTGCAGTGATGCTGGAATCACACTTTCATCACGACTCCAGGAGACCGGAAGGTTGTTTTCTAGTTTTGGTTAAGATCAAAGTGTAGCATATGGGGCTAATACCTACTTACTTGAGGTAAATAATAGGTGCTCCTTTCACTTCTACATAATATAACATGGCGTTCACACACCACTTTCGATAAGTACTCAGAACGGCTGCATGTGAACAGCCTACCAACTGCGCGGTTTCTGAATTCGATGTTCCCAGTCGCAAAGCTAGAACGATTCTGTTTTTCACCACTCTGTTTTTCACTCGAACATGTACTACCTTCCGAAGCCCGAATTTCGAATTTAAAGACATTTTAGAATCATATTTTGTGCGAATTTAAAATTCTTTTGATTAATGTATTCTGTGACTTCAAAGAAAGGTTTTTTTACTGCCGGAAGCGAAGAATGTTTTATGTTCTATTTTGCACTGTAGTGTCATTCAACAAAGCTTAAGCTAATATTGAATTTTTCTTTCAAATTTATTCCGCTATTAATTAACAAAGTAAGCGATTTAAAAGAAATAAACGCAGTTATTATTAATTATTTTAGTAAATTATTAATTATTTTTCTTTTTTAGAGAAACTATTTTGGCAGTTTTCCTTAGGCTAGTAGATAGAGCCTTAGGCTAGAGATAAAATTTGAAATTTTAAAAATGCTGCTGACTACTACGAAAACCAGGAACCAAGAAATCATCAAAATAAGGATCTGCAGCCGAAAGAACTGTTTCTTTCCAATGCAAACATTCGACAAAGATTCCTTTAACCAATGCTATGAAATAGAGCCAATGTAATCGATTCTGGCAAGGTCTTAACTCTTAGCATTAGCGTGGGGAGGAAGAAATCTACATTCGAAGTCACGTGACAAACGAAAGAAAAAATAATTGCTGGCATTCTGCCCCTGGCGGCGGGTCAATATCCAGGGCATCGTCTGCCGATCCCGGAACCAACTGACCGAAAATTCTCCTCCCCCTTGTCCTTCCTAGTGCTAGACATTGACGTTCGAAGTCCATCGTTCCACAAAGAGGACATCCTCCACATCCTCTCCTACCACTTTGTTCCTCCGATATTCTAATGCAAAAGATTTTATTTGCATTTAGAACGTATCTCTGGAATGATGCTCCCTAAATAGAATGCATTTATTATTCGAAAATCCGAATGCTTTTATAAGCGAAATAGAACGATGCTAGCTTTGATATTCGACTCGATGAAAGCAGATGATTTAAAGTCTGTTTTTTGTTCGTAGTTATTTGAGTTTGTTAATAGTAATAAAATTATGTTTTCTTGAGAAGTAGAATACAGTACTGTGATGTAGAATATGGTAACGTGGTTTTGTGTACAACGCGGTTTCAGATATAACGCTAATGCTTCTAAATGGAGGTGTAAGTACGCTATTCCGAAAATCCAATATCAGCAGTAAAATAATTTAAGATTTCTACAAGGCAATAAATTTTCCACGAATTTTTAGATATTTCCAGTTTATTATATCGTTTAGTGTTTATCATACACTTTCACATTTTCGAAATGTTAATTTTGAGATTAATTTTGAGATTACCGTTACAATTACGTTACGTTACATTAAGACGCATTAACTGTGAAGATGATGTTACAATATTTTATTGTCCTGCACGAAATGGGACGATACATTGTGTACTTGTGATATGGTAAAAAGGTTACGTTGTATTACGTTACAATGAATTAACTAAGATGATGTAACAATACTTCATGCTACTGTGCGAAATGGAATGATGCATTATATGACGATGCAATGCATTAATTTTTAAGGCCAATTAACCTTAATGTTAATTAACCAATTATTTTATATTTTGGAAACTTACTGTTACTTCTCCTTTCCGTTTTTCCGCCAGACTGCAAATTAGTTCACTTGTGTTTAAGGTGAGGTTTTTAGATTACAAGTTAAGGAGCGTTCTGCCTCTAAGGTCACGTTACTAAGTTGCTAGAACAGATAAGAATCGCAATCTTCGGCCTTGCATCGTAATTGCCGGTAGTTGAATATCCACTTCGGTTAAGTTTTGAGCCATCTTCCCGTTAATTCCTCTATGTGGCCTTTGATTACTAGCTTATTTAAATTAAATTTAACTTACTGTTACTTTAAATTATCTCGCCAGAAGTGGTTGGCTGAGTTGTAAGCACCAGTTTCAGTTTCAGTGCCTTCAGTCTTTGTTTAGTTTTAAATAAAGTATCATTTTAACCCTTCTTAAGTTTCAATTGTTACTTTGGACTTAATAATGCTTCTGTTCCAATCTATCTAAATTTTGGTTACCCTTTATTATACCAAAGAAAATTATTAAATTTAATAAACTGTTTAAGTGATGTTACAATAGTTCATGTTACTGCTCGAAATGGAAAGATACATGCTGCGTTATGTAAAAACGTTACTATATTACAAAGAATGTAAATATTACAATACAATGCATTAACTGTTAAGTTAAAGTTAAAATATTTCATGCTACTGTATGGAATAGAAAGATACATTATATGAACGTTGCGTTAAGGTAAAAAAGTTAAGTTATATTAGATTACAATGCGTTAACTGTTAAACAAATATTACAATATTTTACGTTACTACGCGAAATAGAACGATGCATTATATAACGTTGGGTCTTACTAACAGAGATATACCATCTCAAACTACCCGCGAAGGTCACGCCGAACATTTCTCTTCTAATTGTCGAATGTAATATCAGCCCAATACAACAACCGACCCATGACGGCAAAGCAGAGACGAGTAGACATAATCTAACATAATCTTTAGACCGAATAGACATATAACATAATCTAACATAATATTAGACCGAATAGATTCTACTCAATCTTAGACCGAATGTCTATTCGGTCTAAGGTTGGGTAGAGTCACCTTTTCTAATTGTTTATGGAGGATTGGGTGTCAAAGGAGTGTTACGAATGTAGATTTGTTTTATAGAAATAATATCGTGATAGTTACCTGTAATTTATCCACGACTACTTTCCACGTGTTATGTTCTTACGGTAACCACGAAATTCAATAATTCAGTTAATTTTCTTCTGTGCATTTTCAGACGATAAAATTAAGGAAAAAGTGGAATACGGAAGGAAACACGGTAATTTAAAGTGATGTTATAAAGTATTTCACCCCCCTTCTTAGCATGCCTTAGTGGTGTAGTGGTCAGCACGCTCGACGCGAGTTCGAGAGGTCCGGGATCGAGTCTCGGCGAGGGCATTGCTCATTTTTCACATCTTCTGCTTCAAAATAACCTAATGACTCTACAATGTAAGGTTACATTCCATCACACATAATATGTTATGTTAAGGTCCCATTCATGTTGTTAATGAGCTAGCTATAATGTAACGTAACGGATTTTTTTAAACTAAACTTTACATTGCATTTCACAAATCCGTTAAGTTACTTTCTCATTGATGTTGCTAATGAGCTGTAATGCATCATAACGTAATTTTTTTATGAAGCATAATGCTCCATTACAGAAATTCGTTAATGAGCCGTAATTATCATTTTTTTTTAACTGCTAGCAACTGTTACATTTTTAATGCGTCTATTAAATATGGATTCAACAGGTTTGAATTGTCAAATTGTAATGTTCAGAATTGCAGCAACCCATTTTCAGAAATGGTCATCTTAAGAAGGGTCTCACTACATTTTAAAAGGCTTTGAACATTTACTTAACTGAAGATTACAAAAGAAAGAATAATAAATCATTTGGTACTATACTGAAGTACGTCTAACATAATATAGGTCCAGTTTGGAGGCGATTTTTGTTTGTTTTTCTTTTAAATATAATACGACTCGAGTTTGACGAGTAACGACTGCGCGAGGTACACTCTTTCGAGACAATGCTACAACTGCCGACGAGAATAAGTATCCCTATAAGTAGCATTCAGTTAACAACTCGGGCTATAATTCTGAATTTTCAAGTGACTTTGTGTTTTTTAGAGTAAATGTTTTGAAAATTACTTAACATTGAGGGGCCCACCAGCGGCCCAGCGGTAAAATCGCTGAACACTGGTACTTCGGTCCGTGGTTCGAATCCCGCGAACGGGCTGGCTGCATGGGCGTTTTCGTGGTTTTCCCCATTCGTAACGTGTATACGAGTCAGTTTCCCTTAGAAAGTCCTCCACGAAGGCATTCCTCCCTTTTGACACATAGCCCTAGTGTGCTTTGCCGTATTTTCAATACACCAATACACCTTAACAATGAGTCTTAAGAAAGTTGATAGTCAAGCAACGAAGAAGATTGTTAAGATTATCGTGGAAGTAAAAAAAGACATTGTCAAAAAGTGTGAAGATTGTATTGGTATCCGAGACTTGACTAAACGTACTAAATCGGCATGCGCTGGAAGAGGATAAAATTGATTATAAAGTGATAAACAAATTTGGTTAAATTTTAGTTACGTACAGTGTGTATTTTCATCTAGTGTATTTAGATTTTAATACTAAACAGTGTTATAATAATTACAATAGGATATTTTTTTTAAATGGATTAATTATGTTCCTTTATTTCGTTTTAGAAATGTTCGTTTGCTATACTTTTAAGTAATCATATGGATTAATGGTATCAAAAAAATATTGTTGTCATTCATTCACTAAGTTGACGAAATAGTTTTATGAGTTCTGTAGTTTAACCGATTCCATCAGTTCACAAAATAGTTCCATTATATTTTTATTAACAAAACTGTTTATGAGTTTCATGAGTTGCAAAATAGTTTTATTGGTTTCCGGAGAATTCAAATTATTTTCTGTGAGTCAGCGAAATAATTTAATGGGTTTCTAAACCCACAAAATAATTTTATGGGTTCTTTGAATTGATGAAACAATTTTGTGGGTTCCTTGAGTTAATAGAATAGTTTATGAATTTCTTGAGTTCACAAAATAGTTTTACGGGTTCCTTTTATACATAAGATTATAGGTTTCCAGTATCTACAAAATCATTTTATGAATTCCCTGTATCCGCAAAAGTGTTTTATGGAACTCCCAAGTCCCAGAAATCCTATGAATTTTTCTGTTGTAGGGTTTATATTTATTTTAACTAACATTTAAACGAGTTCGAATGTGTGCTTTCTTGCTTCACGAGCGTGGAGGTGGCTAGTTAGAAATTGAAGAACCACGCGTTTCGGCCTGTGTGCTTGCCTCGGCAGTTTGTTAATCTTTCAACGTAATATTCAGAAGTTGCTGAATTATCAGCGGTATTTTAGAACGCGGTGAGGTTAGTTACGTTTAGAGAGCCTCGTAGTTAGTCACTTGTTACTATTCTTTTCTTAGTTTCTTATTTTTATTTTACCGCCGGGTCGGCGTAGTTTGTGAGCGTCAAGAGCACGCATTTGTAATTTCCAAAGTTGAATAAAAAGGGATTTAAACCCTTCTCAAGACTTTGGTCTACTTTCCAGTTCTTAGCAGTCACCACTATTGTTGCGTGCAGGTTGGAAGCGCGCAACATTACACTGTAACCACAAAACTGTTTTATGAATTTTCAGTATCTGCAAAATCATTTTACGGATTCTCTGTATCTTTGAAACTGTTTTGTGGTCCATAAAATCATTTTATGGGTTCCTTGTACCCACAAAACTATGTTATAGACTCCTAATATCCACAAAACTGTTTTATGATAGCCCAGCATCCACAAAATCATTTTATAGCTTCCGTGTACTCGCAGAGCTGTTTTATGGATCTGCGAGTTCACAAATTATTGTTATGGGTTCTGTGTATCTATAAAACTGCGTTATGACTTCCCAGTACATACAGAACCATTTATGGGTTCCCTGTTTCCCCAAAACTGTTTTATGAAACCCTTGAGTTGACAGAAACTGAAAATGTCTACTAACTTGATGATTTATGCGGAAAGAAAGGTCCTTTGATTACTTACGTCCGAGAAGCTATCGAGGTTCTTCATGTGCTGGGCAATGAACCGGACATTAAGCACGGCCCTCTCGACGTCCGGGGAGGACTTGATCCCGTCGAGGGACCCGTTGATGTCCGGCTGGGGCCCCACGTGCAGCTCCTCCTCGGGGAATGGTCCGTAGCTGCTGCACTCGTAGTCGATGACGGAGGGCTTCTCGCCGTAGTCCACGAGCTGGGGAAGGTTGAAGTGGTTGGAATCAGCTTTTTCCTCGTCTGAGTTATTGTCCGGGCGCTGCATGCAGAGGATGCGGGGAAGGAGCTCGATAAACACCCACCGCACCCATGGCGCCATCTTGTGAGTGGAAGGAGACCTGCAGAATAGAAGAAGATACCCTTATGAATATAAACTGAGTTCAATTATGAGGTGCACAATAACATTCTGATTGGGGTTTACTGGTTTACCAAGTACATTTCTGATTACAGTGTATTGGTTTACTTGGTACAATTCTGATTACAGTGTACTGGATTATGGAGTACAGTTCTGTTTAGAGATTACTAGTTTACGAAGCATAATTCTGATTAAGGTTTATTGGTTTACTTAGTACTATTCTGATTACGGCTTACGTTTTATTGCTTTACCTGTTGAGAGTTCGATTATGGTGCACTGGATTTATGGAGTAAAGTTTTTGTTATGCTTTATTGGTTTACTTAGTACACTTCTGATTACGGTGCACTGGATTATGAACAAGAAATTTTGGTTAGGGTTTACTGATTTACCTAGTACAGTTCTGATTACCGTATCCATGATTATGTGGTACAATATCTGATTAGGTATTTTTTAATTTGAAAACGTACAAACTCTTCGTGAACCAGAGATGCACAACACGAAGCTTACAGAAGTATGTTAACCGAAACATTAAAAGTTGCATGCATAAATAAAACTAACGAAAGCACAGAACAGCAGTCCGGACTACAAGAAAACTGATAAGTTCATTGGCCAAATCCTTCCGAACATTTTCAAATCGTTCTGCAAGCATAATCTAGGGTAATCTATCATCAAATGTAGGCATGAGAATATCAAATATTCTTATCAATTATTCTATAAATAATGAGGTAGAACATTTGATTTTCACCCTTTTTTGCTTTACCTAGTTCAATTACGATTACACGGTACTGGAATATCGAGTAAAATTTCTAATCGAGGTTTACTAGATTATCGAGTAAAATTTGTGGTTAAAGTGTACTGGTTTACCAAATATAATTTTGCTTAAGACTTACTGGTTTACGCAGTATAATTCTGATTACGGCGTACGTGGTTATCGAGTAGAATTCCTGGTTAGTGTTTATTGATTTACTTAGTACAATTAAGATTATGGTGTACAGGATTATAGAGTACAATATCTTATTAGGGATTACTGCTTTACCTTTGGTAATTGCAATTAAGATGTACTGGATTATCGAGGAAATTTTATGATTAGACTTTACTGGATTAACGATTGAACATTGTGGTTAGGATGTTTGGTTTACGAAGTATAATTCTGCTGAAAACGTATTGGTTTATTTACTATTACTCTGATTATGGTGTAGTGCACTTCGCAGTATTATGTTTGGTTAGGTTTTCTTGGTGCTTTGAGTTAATTTCTGGTTGATAGTTTAATTAAATTAATTCTACTTAGGTTATTAGTTTGCAATAATTTTAATTGATATTACTAGCTATGGTCATGTGATTATTATAATTAATATTATTGGTTTATGGACCAATAACAACGGGGGGATCCCCAAGGGGAGATCCCCCCGTTGGGGATCACAATCTTACAGCTCCACTGATCTTTCTTGGATCATCTTTTTCCCTCTTCTTATCTGCTACATTTCTATTTTTCAGTCCTATTGGAATTCCTTTTCAGAGGTGTTTGGGCTGTGCTTCAGATTGAAACGAGAGATGTGCCCGCTAGTACTTTTCATCTGCTCCATTAGTCCTTACAATCAAAGCTTGAGGACTAGAAATCGAGAATTCCCGCTTTTGGAAAGCAGATTGTGGGGCTTTAGTGAGCCTACTGACTAGGGATTCTCAAACGTTTCTGCTCCATGCACCCCTCTCACCATTGCTAGAAGATAATTCCAATTTACTTTCAAAAAGTTGAAGAATAAACATATATACTTATCTAAATTTAGATGATGTTTCAACCTCTTTTATAAATTAAACAAATAAAAGCGTAGAAAATATTTATAAGTACTGAAACATGGATAAAAGAATTTTTTATATTCGTAATGCTAAAATTCAGTGCTTAACAGCTAAATAAAATGCTGATTGCATTACTCTCCTGAAATTGTGAAATTCTTTCCTAATTGAGAAACCTGTAGTAAAGATTTCGTTGATTATTCAATAAAGAAGGTTATTTTTGCTTCTCCCATTCATAGCTCAATATGTTTGAATCTCAAATTAAGGAAATAAAAAAAACTAAATATCATAATCCTGGAATTAAAGTCAGTATTACAGAAGGCAAAACAAAATATTATATAAATAATAAAAAAAACACAGTTTTTACTTCTTTGTACGAAGTAAAGGAAGTAGCACAATCGAAATTTCAGTTAACAGATTCCAACTTAAATATTTTTTTACTGTTTTATTTGGAATTCATTTTCCAATAATAGGCTGCCCGCATTTCTTCCTGAAAATTGCATCTCCCTGGTTGAGAACCCATGGTATAGACCCTTAAGAGTTTGATGTTGGAGAATGGTAATACGGCTGATATCGGGCTTCCTGACAAAGGAATGGGTTCAGTGTCTTTTCTCTAGAGCGGTGGGTGACATAAGTAAAGGTGTTAACGCATTTTAAAAAGGGCAATTGATATGTGCACTTGTGCCGGGATATCCTTATGAAACTTGTGAAACATTGCTGATTTAAACGGTAGCCAATCCTGGCACTGGGATTGGGCACAGTTATGGCCAGAGCTTAGGGAGATTTCTGTCTGGTAGAATGGTCGATGGTCGATCCTAGCACTGAAAGTGGGTATAATTGTGCCGAGACATATTTCGGATTCATATTCAGAATATTTCTGATTTAAAGAACGGTACCGGACTTGAACAAAGTTTCTGGTACCTTCCTGGCAGAATAGTGGGTGATGGAATCTTTATGGCAAGACATTCTTAGAATAGTTTTTGTCTTGAAGAATGCTAAGCATATTTAATAATAGTAAGAGCACTGTCCTGACAAGACAATGGGTACTGGCACATTTATTTTGAGAAACCCATAGGAAAGTTTCTATCTTAGAAATTGTTGGTCTACTTGAATACCTGCGGTGCCTCCATTTATAGTTGGACACAACAGAAGCCATTTATAGTTGGACAATCTGGGGAAGACTTTTATTTTGTAGAACAGAGGCTTGCTTGAATTAAGGTTTGGCACTTTTTTATGGGGGGCACATTACTAAGCGATCTCATCTGGGGAACTTACCTGAAGTTGACGTTGAGAACGGCGATAGTGACGAAGACAGAGAAGGACACCAAGATCATGGTGAAGAGCAGGTACTTTCCCAGTAGAGGGACGGTGAGGGAGGTGGGAGGGATGATCTCGGACAACAAAAGGAAGAACACACCCAACGAGAGCACAATAGAGATGGAGAGGCTGACTTTCTCTCCAGAATCTGAGGGCAGGTAGAAGACCAGGACTGACAGGAAGGAGATGAAGACACAGGGAATGATGAGATTGACGGTGTAGAAGAGGGTTTTCCTCCTCAGGGTGATGTTGAAGGTGATGTCTGGATAGGGCTCCTCGCAACAACTGTAGAACTTTTCAGTCCGGACGGCGGGAACGGCCATGATGTCCCACTCCACGCTGAGGTAGAACTCACTGAGGTCGATGCCCATAGGTATCTTGTTGGAATCGGCAGTCTGGTACTTGTGCTTGAGGTCCACCTTGTGAAAAAATATACTGTTTAATTTATATAAATATTCGCGTAAAAAAACTCTGTACCACATTCGAATTTTGTCAGATATTTATCGTGGGACAAACTTCCTTCGCCTCTGTTTTAAATGATGTATAAACATGCACACAAAACATCCGTGCACAAAAAAGACAATGATCAGAGAAGAGGGTGTAGTATTTTATGGTAATTTACCAGTTACCATGATTTGAAACTTTACAGTAACTTTATGGAATTTAGAATCGAAGAATTTAATTGATTGGAATCGTAATCAATGAAACAGAGAAATCATTGCAATAGTACAATTTCACTTATTGCCCTAAAAGTTTCATTAATTGGGATCGCAACCTGTCAAACAAGAAAAGTTCAGAATTTGAGATAGTAAATTTATTAATTACAAAATCACAAATCACAAATCTGCGAAGAATACGATTAAATATAATTGGTCAACTATAAGGTCAACGAATTTAATTACAACTCATGATCAAAAGTTATCGAGTGCAATTGTTTATTAACTGCGATTTACTCGTCGATTGCAATCGCAGGGCACTAATTTTTGTTTTGCAATCGAAGACATAGACTGACATCGCACTCAATGAAATCGCAGAATTATGGCATTTACCATCGCATGATTTCTTTGATTGCGATCAAGAATTTAATTCACTGAAACTGTAGATTTTTATTTACTGATTTTCACCGCAGAAGTTACTATGAACTACCGATTTACAATGAGTACAATTCAGAAATATAATTTTGCTCGTTGTAAATCAATGAATTAAATTATGATTCCTCGATTTCGATCATAGGACATTAAATAGTGCTTAGCAATTCGAAACATCAATTGAGCAGTGAAATCGCATAATTGCGGGATTTACAGTGGCAGAATTTCATTGATTGTGATCGAGAATTTCATTCATTTAAATTGCAGAATTTGATTTATTGATTGCAGTCATAGAATTTATGATTAATTACAAACTTACAATGAATAAAAATTAGGTTCTTTATAAACAATGAATAAAATTATAATTCATCGATAGCGATCACTAACATTTTCTATTACTCATAAATTTGTCGATTACGATTATTCATTAATTTCCATTTACTCTTCGATTGCAATCAGATGGTATTCATTTTTGTTTTGCAATCGAAACCATCGATTGCAATCGAGAATTTGATTAATTAGATAAAAATTTGATTTATTGATTGCAGTCGCAGAATTTATGGAGAAAAACAGATTTACTGAGCAGACAATTAACAATTATAATTGTATTTAATGTAAATCAATGAATAAAAATATAATTTGCCGATCGAGATTTACTCGTCGATTGAAGTTGCAGGACATTAATTTCTCGGTTGCGTCTGCAAAGCTCATAAGCCCAATTACGGGATGTTTGCGATTGCAACTGATGCAGAATTTGCAATTGTAATTCAATGATTGCAGTCGCCCACATAAATTCCTTGAATGGGATTTCCAGATTGCAACTGATTGCTATAGTACAGAATAAAAAACTCAGTAAACAATTGCACACATTAGTAACTTGTATACTAGAGAGTAAATTAGACCAGGTGCTTAAAAAGAATAGAATTACCGTGTATCCGTCATACGTCCAAGATCCGAATTTCATGAAACAAGTCTGTTCGTCGAATGGGAAGTATTCGACATCGATTCCGCACGAGCTTTTGTAGATGGCTGGGGGTTTCCAGATCACCTGACCGTCGAAGTGAAGGATCGCCTTCGTCATAATAGTCACCTCGTAATTGCCATCTGCACTATTTTAAAATTGATAGACATAAAATTATAAATAAAATACATTCCTCATGTTTTCCGCATCGCATTTAAAACATATTCTAGACCACGGCATTGAATATTTTGCATTTTAATATTTTTCTGAATACATTTTCTTTACATTTGAAAGAAAAACCGAATGATTCTGTAGCAGATACGAAATATGTGTACTTGGAAACTTCATTCTATTATTATTACTATTATTACTGTTATTGTTATTATTATTTTTACTTTTATTATTATTATTATTATTATTATTATCATACTGTTCAGGGAGAACATTATTGCTGTTATATTAATAGGATTAATATACCGTATTTCTTCCCTGGCGTTTTAGCAGTAAGTTCTAAATATTAAAAAATTACCATAATTTTCCTTTCCATTATGTGTTTCGAAAACAAGGTCCTTTAAATTTTAAAATGTGTTCTTCCACGCAGTGAATTCCCTGTTTTCCTGTGACTAACAAAGACAAACCCTGTTTTCGTCTGACTAACAATACTATCTGCGAAGGTCACGACAAAGATTTCTCTTCTAACTTTTGGAACAGAAAAACCTTCCTTTCTAACCGAAAAACCGGCAAGAGAAAGTCTTTCTCTTTACTTCTCAGGATACCAACCTCAGCAGTGGAATGTTACCTCGGGGGGAAAATCTTTCAGTATGTTTCGCATAATTCACTTGCTCTCTAGAATACTGTACTAATACTCTAATCTCTTAAAGATACAAAATTCAATAGAATACAATGAAAATGTAATCAGTAAAAGTTTCTTTTTTTAAACTAAAGAGCGATATTACATTGGTTATCAAAATAAGAATAATAATGAAAAATGTGCTCACTAAGTTAATGTGGCAACCAATGCTCAATGCCGTAAATATTTATATTATTTGATTATAACTGAACACAAGATTGCACTTCCGCGCATATGCTACCGTCGGAAATGTACAAATAATGTAAAAAGCGAAATTAAAACTAAATTTACATATGAGGCTGCATTTCCGAATGCAAATAAGCAAACAAAATTAGCATAAAACACAAACCTGCAGTCACATCACAACTCCTTAAAAAGGGTCATGCAGGACCTATGCGTCAGTTCGCAAGCTGCGATAGTTCCGTGTAATCCGAGATAGCCAAAGTAGAAAGCATGACCTGATGAATACCATTTGCACGATGAAATACGTTGAAGGAGGGATTTTGCAAGCTGCTGTAAGACAATCCGCTATTGCAAAAGAGCTGAATGGGCATCGCAGCATCACCAAAAGGCTATGGAATCGTTACCAAAGGGATCACTACCCTTGTGGAAGACGTGGGTCTGGACGTCGGAGTATTATCATGTCAGACGATCGTTTCCTGTTGCTATGTGAAAGAAGCCATAGATCATTAGCAGCACGACAACTGGCGTCGCATCTCTCTGCTGCTGCAGGACAGCTCATATCCCGCCAAACCGTGTACATCGACTGTATGAAGGTGATTTGTACGCCCGACGACTTGTGGTTAGCGTTTTTTCTTCCTCCACCACATATCAGAGTGCAGCTGAATTGGGTCCGTGAACATGGTAGTGGGACACCAGAGCATTGGGGTAAAACTGGTGAGTCTAGATTTAATATCCAGAACTATTTCCTAAGGACAATGATATGATGACAGCCAGAGATACGCTACTGGGCTCCAAACATCGTCGAAAGAAATAATTACAGAGGGAAGAGGCTTACTTGTTTTAGACTGAAATAGCAAGGAACGACCGCACAGACCGATATGTGATTCGTGGTGGTTCCGTCACAACCGTTCCAGATTTCGCGAAGAAATTCAGCATCCTTTTGTGCGTCCTTTATTGCTGCAATGGGTACCGATGCGATATTTACGGACGATGACGTACGTCCGCTTAGAGCTCGAATGTTGTGGAGTTATCTGGAGAATGAGATAATTCCACACCTACTGTGACCTGCTAGATAACAGGACCCGAATTCCATAGAGCACGTGCGGAATATTTTGGGATGACAGGTGACAAGCGAATGAAGGGATGGACACCTGGACGGCTTTATATGACTAATCGGATGCCATTCGGTACCCGCAACTGTCCAGAGCAACACGCTCTTGGTGCCCCGCAAGTACTGCATCGGGAGTTTATTGCAGTAAGATAAAGATTGCACATAGCAGCACAAGGGCTAAGCCAAAACACATTGGGATGACAGATAGCTGGTCGCTGTGTGCCGCAGGCACCCTATATGTGCTCCCTATATGACACGCGTTACTACAGGAATGATCCCTACTACCACGAGAAGCAATAAACAACACTATTGGCAGCTTGCTTTGGAGTTGTCAAGCATGCATTTCAGCTACAGGTGACAGGTGACAGCAGGCCCAGACCACCCACATGGCTTTACAGTGACTACTCGGGTATCGTCCGGGGCCTGCAACTATCCAGAGCAACACCCCTTAGGATCCCAAGAGGACCACATCGGGAGCTTAAGATCAAATAAGAAGATTACATTGCCAAACAGGGGCTTGAGGAAATTATAGCACTTGCTTCTTAGGATACATAAGTGCTATTATGTACATAAAATTAGGCCTTGCCTGGTACATTTAGAGCGTGGTATACTACAAGAAAATAAAGTTTTAAAACAACACTACATTACTAAAAATAGACTATGCTACTCTACAGAAGAGAACACTTCATAAATTAACTCTACTCTACACTACATGAAGAAACAGGGCACTATATTTGACATTAGTATACTACAATACACACTACATAAACACTGCATAGACTGAATACATTTAGTGGGCAAATATTATCAACATTCTATACGTGGTAATGTATACGTAGATAATACTTAAAAACTTTTGCATGAATACTTGTTCACAAAAGCCTATACATAATTGAATACTTATATATGAAAGCTTATCAATAAATGATTATTTATACATAAGTACATATATATAGGTCCGACTATACATGAATGCTTGAATAACTGGCATATAAAAGATTTGCAGACATAAATTATACGAAAAGACTTGAAATATAATACAAATACTGAAGCAATTAATCTAAATCATTACAACATGGCTTAAGTGCAAAACATATACCTATAAACCTATACCTAAATGAATACTAATACATAAATACTTATAAAATAAAAACGACTAATACAAGACTGCTTAAAGTATTGGCATATAATAATTTGCAAAACATACAATCATACAAAAAGTCTTGACAGACACTGAGACATTCAGTTGCATTTCAGCTACAAAGTATCATACTTATTATTAGCGTGATGTTTACATTCGACATGCTTACGACCCATTTGGTCTTTTTCAATATGATGATCGTAATGCATGTGTTTTTGTATATCTTTGCTTTACGATTTGCTGTATAGTTTAGTAATGTCGCACAGAGCTCTTGGATCAGTTTCATGCTTATCCATTGAATAGTTTTTTTTATTCCGTGTTTTGCCTTCAGTGCTTATTTTTTGAGCAGGGATGTATATCATAACGAGAAACGGTTCCGGAAATGAAGGCCAGGTAAGGACGTAAAAGCCGGGTAGGAGGATGTATACAAATACACGTTTGGTACTCCTCATGGCAATAAAAAAGAAGGTACGCAACTAGACATTATAGCAGTCCCATATACAAAATTTCAACATTCTGAGTTTTTGATAATTGTTTTTGAGTTATGCCAGATACATACGTACAGAGGTCGCGGAGAAATAAATTTTTAAACCCATTTTACAAACCGTTTTAGAAAAAAGAATCTTTTATTCTGTCCGGAATTAAACGTTAATTCCGTCCCGACTCTCTCTGAAACTTTCCACATATGATGGAAATTGTGCCAGACTTAAGTTCTGATCACAGTCCACGTCCGTGAGCATAAGTTCGAATCCTACTTCTGACAAAACAAATAGTTGCTTGTGTAGGGTTTCATAATAGATTGGATGCATACAGAACCGATGGTAGCTGGATAAATTTTTTTTTTTAAAGAAACATTTTACAATTATGGCACTGTCCACTCTTGCAGCTCTTCTCAATAAAATAGGGCACAATCAGCATTCACTACTTCAAAGTTTTAGGAACACTAAACACAAAGTAATGCAAAGCGCAACCAAAGAGCGAAACTTGCGATATTCTCACACTCCGAAGTCAACTCTGAACTGAAAACTGAGAAAATGATGCTTTCTTCGGTCATACAGAGTTTTCACCCTGCCGCCGAGAAATATCTAGTACCTTCCATTCCTTGAAATTACCAGAAGGCATATACAGCTGAAGTTACGTGTAAGGGTCGTATACGGTTGCAGTTACATATCAATTACTGATATTTAATTGCAGTACCGATTACAGTTATACAAGGACCGGAACAAAATGTTACCAAATAGGTGCCAGGTTTGGTGATTTTTGGGAAATTTCTCGCCAAATTTGGCGACAAAAATGAATTGCCGAAATCACTACTATCTTGGCAGTATCTCGGAAACTTAGTGAGATAGCCATTTACCTCAGTGTTAAATAGATTTGCCTTTCTAATCTTTGGTTTTTTGGTAGAGCTTCCTCTCTTCATTCTGTTCATGATACATTATATAAGACTCGTAAAATATAGATGTCACGCAAAACGAAAAATTGTAAAAATGGAGATTTTCGTTGAAATATCCGAAATGTTTTGAGATTCTTTCTATATTTCGTACAAGGAAGTAAAAAGATGCTAATATCCCATAAATGCAAGGTGACTTGGTTTATATGTGTATAAAGCTAAAATTGTTACTCGACTTGCATGAAAAATTAAGGCGAATTGCCGATTTATGCAAGAAACAAATGGCCAAACATTATTTTCGTGTATGAATTAAAATTGCTAATACCTGTTATTCTAAGCTATTCAAACTGAAAAACAAATTAAAACTGATTAGGATACATATTGATGTTAGGCGTACCTAGGAAATATTTGTTACCAAGGCTCATTTTCAATATAAGGCAGCGTTTGCAAACTTTAATGTCTCATAATTCGACAATTACTTCAGCTATGAAATAACAATTTCATGCGTGTTTCCCTAGTTTAGGGATCAGCAGAAAATCACGAGAAAAGAAAAAAATTGTTCCTATATATTCCCTTGCCTTGTGCCTGAAAATTAACAATTGCGCCCACTCCTAAAGCAAAGGTTTCAAAAGGCTTTTTCATAGTTAATTTCCTTTGCTGTTTGTCCTTTTGTTAGTTCTTAGAGGACAGGAAGCGCATTCCTAATTTCTGTTTTCATAAGTGAAATGTTTTCAAACTTCACCACCTTTTAAATGTTAGTATGTAGCCAACGTTATATTGGTGTCAACGCTCAACCTGGAAAACATGTTTATCTGCAATAATAGTCCTTTAAAAATGAAGCGAACAGTACAGGGGCATCGTAATCGACAGTTTACATTTATAGATATCAAAGACATATTGGTAACAATTTGCGGACACTATAAACTAGGATAGCCGTGCTGCATTCCTAGTTGCGGTTAATTTAATTCAACAGTTATTAAACATAACCATAAATTAATTCATGTTCTCGATTAGTATCACATTCGAAAGTTTCGTATTTCGCATTTTCGTTCGTTACTGGAGAATTTCAGCAACAGTTTCCAAAATGTACCAGGAATAATAGCAGACGCAGTATTCTCGTTCAGTCTTGGATTAGGTCATGCTTAATTGAATAATTGTTAAGCGCAACTATATAAAGATTACTATTCGTAATCCATATCATATTTGCCAGTAACAGATTCCAAGACCCACCGGGAATAACAGTGGCTGCTGTATTCCAATAAGTCTGCGGCCAAGTTTAATTGAATAGTTACCATATTTCCTGGCGTATTCTCCATTTTTTATTAATGTTTTCCCCATGTGCAGCGTCAATACTATCCATTTTTCCTTACATAAATCCTCCATGAAGAAATTCCTCCTGTTAGGTGGATAGCCACCATGTGTTCTGTCATATTTAAATAACCAACTAACTTAATTTATGCTCGAGTTTTAAACGTACTAAACTAAGAAAACCAGAAAATCATCGAAAACCACAGCAATTATCCAATCGGAATACATATGATAGATATAATGCTACTGGTTGAATTGCAGCACTCTCTTTCAGAACTTATTCTGTCATACCTTGGTTAAACTCATTTTATTTGTACTTTTTGGCAGAATTGACAGAAAGAGTAGTTTACCTGTAGAAATTTTGAATGACATATCATAAGTTATTTCTTTCGCCTTCTTCGAATGCATTCGTGATGTGGTGATCTGCACGCTAGGCGCGTATTCCAGAGGTCCGCGGTTCGATTCCCGGCGAAGGCGTTGCTAATTTTTCATCTCGCCTGTTTCCAAAAATACCTAATGTCTCTACAATATAATTAGTAATATGCCCACGGAGAAGGAAAACCTTTTAAAGTTTTGAAATTATTTTACCAGAAAGGGGTACCAGAAAAATTTTAATAAATTCTAATATAACAGAAATAAGATTAAGTCAAAATAAAAGTAACAATATTCATCTTTTTTTATGTTACTAATGACTCGAGTTTAGAGTTTTGACAAATTACAGCTTGACTTTAAAAAATATGTTTATTCTAAATTCTAGGTTTGCATAAAAATACATTTTACTTTTAAAAAAATATCCTTGATGATAATATTAGCGCCCTTTCAAACGTAAATAACAGTTTGTTTGACAAATTTAATATGCATTTAATGTCATGAAATGGCTTTGGATATAAAACAACTTCAGAATAATTTTTATTTGTTGCCTTTGCTATACACACCCAAAATAAGAAAATAATCTTTTATACTAGTAAATTTTACCTCTGCTGAACCTTCGTATAGTAGAAGAAGACAGATTTTTTATACTAATTGTAACACTAATTTTGAGATATTACTTCACGTGCTCTGAAGTACTGATATGCATATATGTTACACAATTTTGAAATCTGCAAAATATGAAATATGGTTGCATATCAAATTAAGTAATAACATTAAACGATAATATGATGAAGGAAAAACGTTTCCGCTTATGAAAAAAAAACTTTGGAATAATATTCTTTATAATTTAAAAAAGCTTTTCATATATGATTTTAAAGCATATTTATTAGAAATTATTTATAAAAATGAGAATAAAAATTTTTCTTGTGAATAACTCTGAGTAGAAGTTTATTTGGAAATTTAAGGTTCAAAACAACTGTTGCAATTCGTTGAAGATAGTAACAATCTGGGTAAAACATATTTGTAGTTATTATTGCTTATAACAAATATGCTAAATTTTAAAATGTGCCATTATATAAATTTAGGTATATCTTGGGAAGTTTTGGATATAAACCTCTTATTTTTTGCAGGGGAACTTAAAACTTTATATGATATAATTCAAAATTTTTTTTTTCGAAAAATTTATAAAAATTGCTAAAAAATACCAACTTTCAAAAATTTCAGGTACGACTCAACGCATCAAATGTGATTTCACAAGGTCAGATGGGCACATTGCGTTGTGGTGTAAGCATAAAAATGGCGCACGCAAGGAAAAATAGGAGATTTTTAGCTTTTAGAGATAATGCTACCCTCGTGAGAACTATTTCCTTACGAACTGCTTGAGATGGACAGTGTGCTAATGATGTTTCTTTGAGGATCTTGATTGTAAATAATGTTTTACTTTCTTGTACGGTGTAGAGAAAATACTGTAATCACAAAAAAATTAAGGATATCATATTCCAATGGAAATATCCATTTTGACTGTTTCCGAATTCATTCGGACGATTTTTTTCCGTGACGTCTGTACATACGGACAGAATAAAGTACTCTTTTTTCCAAAAAGGATTTTAAAATTTTAAAAACGATTAGTCGTAATAACGTTGAAAATTTGGGTATAGGACTGCTACATCATCTAATTATGCATCTTCCTTTTTTATTGCATTCGGCAGTATCAAATGCATATATATATATATCCACTCTCCTTACTTGGCCCTAATATCCTCACTCTATTCGCAGTCTTTGGTTGTAATTGAATAATTCCAGTTATAAAAATTATTTAAATGACGAAAGTATTCGTGTTTGCGGCAATGTCAAATTAAAAAAAAAATATTTTGGACGAATAATGACAGCTGACATTTAATGCGGTCTCCTGTTTTTTATACTTATATTCCGAAAAATTTTATACTCGTTGTGAAAAAATAAAATTATAAGTTTAACTCTGTCACGACAAAAATTGATCAGGACATTTATTTTCAAAATTTGCAATTTTTGATACCATTTTCAAGTTGGCTAGAGAGATCGGTTAAATAAGTTAGAATAAATCCAGGAAATAGGTTTAAATTCAGTGCAAAAAAATACGTTTAATTTAATAGACCGTACAAGGAAGTCGTGTGGTATCCGTATCAGATTTTATTATTCATATTGTTGTACAGAAACAAAGATTTTCTTTGTTCTCTCTTTTCGGCATGTTTTCGTGGCGTAACTGGAAGCACGCTCGATGCGTATTCGGGAGATCCGAGGCCCAAATCCCAGCTCATTTTTCACATTACCAGCATCGATATAACATAATGACATTTACAAGTGGTGCTTTAACTAAAAAGGTCTTGGACGATAGATCATCACCACCGGAATTTGGTGATTGGTTCTCCAATTCTGTTCTTTAAAAGAGGGTATACATAAGGTATTTTCCTCTTCGTTTCCGTGTGCCTTCGTGGTGTAATTACTCGACTCGCATTCGGAAGGCCCGGAGTTAGAATCCTTTCGAGGGCATTGCACATTTTTTTACCTTCGAGCACCGATATAATTGAATGAAAAATTACTGAGTCCAGTGATTTTAATTCGCGGAACCCCTAGGAATGCAGTACAACTTGTAAAGAAAGTGTACGTTTCGGCTTGTGATGACTTCTTAATGGGTAAGCACCTTGCTATGGAATGCGACGATTTATCCCTTAGTATGGGGGTCCACTGATATTTCCGACAAGGTTTTCTAACTACGGAATTTAACGATTTCTAAAAAAAGCATGCGCTGAGATTTCTGATGACTTCTTAATGGGCAAGACGTTTACTGTAAAGCGCGATGATTTTTATAAGATCTATCCCTTACAAGGGGATATGCATTGTTCTACAAGAAATTCTTAGCTATGCAACATAACTCTTTCTAAGCGAAGGGTGTTCTATGGATTTGGATGATTTCCTGAGTGAAAATACACTTGCTGCGGGACGCGATGATTTTTATTAAGAGGTATCTCTTAGTATAGAATTCAAAGAATTTCTACTAGGAATCCCTAACTACGCAATAAAATTACAATGCTTTCTAAAATGAAGCATGTGCTATAGGTATTTAATGCTTACCTGAGTGACTTGCTATATTACTACATTTGCTGCTAATGGGAAGACTTACTTGTTATAAAGGACAATATCCGGCAGCCATATTTGCTCGGCCGGCACGTGCAGCTTGGACACGCCTCCGTATTCATCCGGTTCCCACCTCAGCTTGTAGTCGTTCCACTCCTGTCATGGAAAAAAAGTTCAGTTAACGAAACACAATCGAAGGACTTTTGAGTTACAAATTTAATCTTATTATAAACCCTTTAACAGTAACTATAGATCAGTAGGAACAGTCAAAGGGATGAATATAAAGGATTGAACAAATAGATTTGTTTGGATAATCGATTTTTATATTAAGAATAAGTGTTAAAACAACTCTGTATTTAGCACATGCCTCTTAATATGATCATTAGGGACAACAATCGATTTGTTCGGATAATCGATTTTCATATTAAGAATAAGTTCCTGAAGAAATCTGCACAAGCTTGCCTCTCTTAATGCGATCACGTTACACGTTTAATCGATTATCCGAACGAATGGATTTGTTCGGATAATCGATTTTTATGCTACCAATAAATTTTTAAACATTTCTGTATACCGCAGGGGCCTTTTAATGTTATCAAATTGGACAATAAATCAATTAAACGAAAGAATCGAATTGGTGGGCTAATCAATTTTTATATTAAGAAATAAGTTTCTAAAATAATCTGTATAGAGCAGGCGACGCTTAATATGATTACATTGGACAATAAATCAATTATCCGAAATAATCGATTTTAATATTAAGAATAAATTTAGCGACAATTCTGTATACAGTATTAGATACAGTACACAATAATAGAAAATATCCTACTTCATGGAGCCTCTGCCTAGGGCATAAATATCCATAAACACGCGCAAAGACATCTTTTATCAACTCAATGACTCTTTTATCAACTTAATGACCTACTTCCAATGCGAAAGCTTGCCGCATCACTCCTACAAAGGATTCTGTATGTAATGGACGCCACTTGATGCAATCACGTTATGCAATAAATCGATTATCTGAACGAATCTATTTGCCCGAATAATCGATTTTATATCAAGAATAAATTTTTAACAGTTCTGTATACAGTAGCCTTATTTAATATGATCCCGTCTGTCCACAGGTTTTTTTTATCACATTAACCGTATGATAACATTAAATGACGAAACAAAATTTCCTTCAAATCAGGAGTGGAATTTAACTCATTTGATATAACTATAACTAGAAACATATAAATAGGTATTTCCAGAATTCTAATTAGGAAAGTCAAAAATCTTGTTTATGAACTGTTTATCGTGACTTTAATGCGTAAGTTCATTCATGAGCGGTTCTCAACGAAGCGGAGTAGAAATGATAAGAACAATGCTATACCCTTGCCGAATATATAATTTGCCGAATGTTGTAAAAAGTCGCTATTCGAATAAAAAGGTTTTAGAGTTGAAATTAAAAATAAGATATTCATAGTTATATTTAGGCTATTTTGTCATGGAGTATTTTACTACGGACTATTTTTAAGGCTATTTTGTTAAGTCTCGCTACAAAGTGCACTTAGAATTAAAAAAATAGGATATTGCAGAGCAAAAGTGTTCTTACCTGTTCTACCCATACGTTTGTCGTCATGATTTGGTTCTTGATGTTCTGAAAGAGAAGGTATAAAATTCACTAATTTCTGATGTCAGAATAAAAAAATGTAGAAAACGGTGAAAAAGAAAATGGCGATAAAATATTAGGCGTAATCGAATGGAGCCTGTTCGTTGACCATACCTGATATAAAAAAAAGTACATGTCATATCCACAAAATTTGGTCGTAGAACAAATACTCACAGTCACATTCATTTATGCAGAAATTCATGTTTTGACATTTTTAAAGAAATCAGTGTTATGGTAAAATTTTACGATTCGTATACTTAATTATAATTAATTTAACGATTTTACGATTCGTATACTTATGGTAAATTTTACGAGTTAGGAAAATAGTCATTATAGAAAATAAAGTACAAAACGCTTGAGTCCCGTACGACAGAAATTTCATTCCGAAATTTGCGATTTTTGACGGCATATTCAGTTTACGTTGATGGGGCGGTTAATAAATAAAACAGAATTATTCGAGGTTGATTTTCTCCCATGAAATGCCATTCAGTAATATTCTTTTGGAATTTTTCAGGTTTCATTAATTTATAATTTTATTACATTTGGTATTCCGAAAAGATTTTCACATAAATAATTTATATGCACTTGAAGTCTAAAAATGTGCTATTAGGAACGATATTAGCAGTGAGTTATTTATCATAACGTGATAGTCGTACAAAACATTAATTAAAGTATAAATATTTGTCATGTTTAGTTAATGAAAATAATATTAACAGTTAATATTATAATTATATCTGCCTATATTAAAGCCTGACAGTGCTTCCTAGAACAAAAATTCTCTAAGATTCTATAAATAAGATCTCCATTTTCATATAGATGTAGAACTACTAAAATTGAAAACATGATGCCACGTTCCATTAGGTTAATCTAATCAATTACTTTATGTTTTGGATCTTTACTGTTACTTTTCCTCTTCTGATTTCTCGCCAGAATGCGCATTAACTCGCTTGTATTTAAGTTTGTTTCGTGCGTACGGGTTCGTAATAGTTGAGTGCACACAAGTCCTATAATCTCTACATATAAATAAAAGAAAGAGTCTGTGTGTGTGTCTTTCGTTCGCGCTTGCGCGTAAGCTAATAGACCCATGACTACGAAATTTGGTACATAGGTGCATCTAGACAAGAGCCAGAGCACCTCGAAGCGATTTTCTCGAAATTCGAATTCGAATTCGAATTTTTTTTATTTTATGTTTTGTGACGAAATCGCGTCATTTTGAGACAAAATGGGCTATAGAAAAGCGAGATTTTACTCTACACACTCCATTTTCACATCGTCATGAAACGTAGGCACTTAGCTATTTTACGAAGTTAAAATAAATTTCGTGTTTGAATAAATCGATTAAATACGAATTTATTTAACAAAGGGAGCTTAACACCTTTTCAACGGGACTTTTTCTAAAATAGTTTATTTTTAAAAATTTACAGTTTGTTTTCCTTTGATTTTTGGACACGTTAAACTTTCATCCTTGCGACTGCTTTTACAAAAAGAATTTTGGAAAAATGAAATTATTTTGTATTTTTAAATAATTTTTTAAATGAAGCTTCCGAGTACACTTCTCCCATCTCACATCTTTAAAAATGTGATTTTGGCAACAATTTTCCTGTCTTATTGATCGATTTTTGATGAAATAGCATCAATTTGAATAGTTCCATTCTTTTAGAACTCTGGGTTTGGCACCAACTTTCATCGTATTTCTTAATGCCACTATTTTTAAGAGATTGGCATATTTCATTTGTCATTTATATATATATGTTACTGTGAAAGACCGAAATTGGAGAATGTCGACTTTCACCGGAGAATGTCAGCATTCACCAAATACGTCGGTGAAAGATCGAATATTACGTTACATTCTTGTAGACCCTCACCGGTGCATGTCGACAATCACAGATATGCTCTAGTGTAGGTCGAAAAGAGAGGAGTATATGTACACGCTGACATTGCAAAAGTAAGTGTTCCACAAATAAATGCAGTTGTAAAAGCAAGGGCCTCTTGTGCAATTCAAAGTGTTATAATAGTTTAAGTTAATGCAATAAATAAGATTTGAATCACATAATTTAGTAAGTTTTTAACTTCTATTATTTTCCTTTCTCATTTTGAATGTACTGTGTGTTTCAAGTTCTTATGCTCTTAAGTTCTTATTTTAAGTCTCAAGTGCGTTTTTTCGCGACTGAGTTTCGGAGAAGAAAATATAATATTCTTATATGTTCAATATTCACCATTAGTACATGGTGAATGTCGACATTGACCGGTGTAAATCAGAAATAAGAGAGTATTTGAAAAATATTTCGGACATACACTAAGCGACTATGTGAATGTTGACATTCACCGGTGAAAGTCGACATTCTCCAGATTTTGGTTTTTTGAGTTGCTTTCATGTTATTTTTTGCTTATTTCACTGTTTGTAATATATTGAAAAGTTTTGCATGGTTTCTTTTCTTCAACGGAAAGTTGGTTAATGTTTTTATTAGGATAATTAATATTTGTATTAAGCGATATAGCTTATTTCATTGTAATCTTTTTCTCTTAAAAATGTAAGATAAAATATCATTAATTATACTTTGCTTTTCAGAATTTTTTTGTTTTCTGTATTATTTTTATGTTACAAAAAACATTTCACTGTTAAGATATTGAAAAGTTTTGAGATTTTTTTAGGAAACAAAGTTTTTAACCTCCTTTATACCATTTGAGTTCTTAAGATTTTGCAAAGGGAAGTTGGTTAATTTATTTATTAGGATAATTAATATTTGTATTAAGGGATATTACTTATTTCATTGTAATTTTGTTATACGTAATAAGGTTTTTATGAAGTTGTTCTGCAGAGTAAAATTCTACGCAGGTTTTAAATTTAACGTTTGGTGTTCCATTCAGCCATTTTCCAGGTGCATTTAAAAGCCAGACGAAGGCTGGCAGCGAAGCTGCTAGTAGGTTAATAAAGTTTATTTTATATACTACAAAAATAAGGGGGAAGAAGAAGGAAAGAAAATTCAGAGTTCCAAAATTTTCACAGAAATTCTCATAGAGGTGCTGACAGTATCACAGAGCACAATTAGTAGTTTTACTTCAAACTACTAACGTAAACAAAGTGCAATGTAAAGCGCAACTAAAGAGAAAGCTAACCCCAAGAAATCTCAGCTCCCGCTGAATTAACAATTGGCAACAATAGCAACTAAACAATTGAAAGGAGATGCTCTCTCTCTCCGACCTTATATAGGTTTTACCCAGCCGCCGAGATATTTCTAGTGCTTTCTGCTTCTCGAAATTACTGGAAGGCAATATGAGTGTCAAATTACGGTTGCAGCCAATAAAGTAATAAATTACATTTTTTTCAGTTACAATACTTATTATGGTGATACAGAGACCGGACCAAAACGATCGCCAAGTTTGGCGATTTTTCGTCAAATTACCGGGATACCAATTTACTCAGTGTTAAATGGACTTGCCCTGTATTTTTACTTTTCCGGAATAGCTAGTCTCTTTAGGTTTTTTATGTTGCATTATGTAAAAGAAATACAACAGTTGTACTTATAATTACACTATAATTACCTATTTAATTAAAAAATTCGGTACTTTTCCGTTTTGCCGGCGCAAACGATAAAGTCGTCAATAATGGTACAACTGATGCCAAACGGAATATCTTCTCTGGTAACCTTTTACGCCTCATTTTCAAACAATTCGCAGCTATTTCTTTCCAGATGGATTGTTTCTTTCAATACTGGCATACAATTACATAGAATATTTACAAAGATAATTAATGCAATCACACCATTCACCCGAAGGCAAAAATATAGAAAAGGCAAAATCAAGGGTTAAATTCATCAGTTCTAATGCGAATGCACTAGTGAAGTAAAGCTCTACAATTTTACATAATTTCTGAGTAAGCTATTCGTACGTATTAAAATAATTCTTTCATTTAAACTTGTATTCCAAATTAAGATTTAACTTAAAATTAATGTAGGTAATTACTGAGAGAATTATATTTTTGTAGCTTAGTTTGCATGAGATGAGATCACTTGGGGTCATGTGATACGAATCGGCCAATCAGGTTGTTGAACCATGATAGCATAGTAAATTCTTAAATTAATGTCTTTTTACAAGTCTATTATTTTTATTTATTGACATTTTACAAAATTTTAAACCATCTTAAAATGCCTTCAAAATAAAAAATTCTTAGAACTAGCATTTGTTATCAATTTTATGTGTATACTGTATGTTGTCGCCAACAAAGTCTGCTTCGCGAGATTAGCTTCGGGAAAACGGAAAAGTACCCAAAATTCGTAAAAAGCTGATAAGCTGAGGTTTTTAGATTGTAAGACAGAGAGTGCTCTGTCTTTCAAGGCCACGTTATTAGGTTATTGTTATTTGTAGTCTTCGGTTTTGCATTATAACTGCCGATATTTGAAGATCTACGACGGTAAGTTTCGTGAGTCAAATACGCGTTAATGGACCTATATAGCCTTTGAATACTAGCTTATTTAAATTTAAATTCTACATTTGACTGTTATTTAAAGTTTTATAGCCACAAATTGTTGACTGAATTGAAAGTATGATTTGTGCATTCATGTTTTAATTTTCATTTATTAAAAAGGTTTATTTTAAAACCTTTTCCAAACTCTGTCGACTAAGCTTAACTTTTAGACTTAGCGATAATTCCCTGTCTGCCCATCAAAAGCTTGATTCCAGTTCATGGCAGCTAAGAAGATTACCAAATTTTATAATGATGTAAAAAGGGCTTTAAAGACATTATCCTGAGCAATTGCTGCTAAGACTGATATAAAATAATTATTCAATTAAATTAAAACTAAACAGACGATGAATAATTGAAATCAATAACTTTAAATTGATTTTGGTGCCTTAGATAATTAGAAACGAACGGAAACATAAGTGATTATAGCAGAGAAAGAGGTGATGAAGTTGCTAGTTTTTTCCGTATCTTGAAAACGTTTCAATATGACAGTGATAATACAGCTTTTTCCTTATTGCATTTATTA